AGGGACTTTCAGATGTGATTAGAGACCCAGAATGGGACAGTGATCCAGCACTGCTGAGCTGTGTGTGCTCAGTGCCAGACTAATGTCCTTGAGAGATGAAAAGAGGAGGAGGAAGCCCATACCAGTAGCTCATGTCTGCAATCCTAGCTGCTCAGAGGCTGATATCTGAGTAGTTTGAAAGCCACCCAGGTAAAAAAGTTTGCAGACTGTCTCTAAGGAGCAAAAATACTGGACTGCTGGCTCCCCAGGAGGTAGAGATCTGAGGATCCTGGTTCAAAGTCAGCCCAGACAGGCAAATCCTTGAGACTCTTACTCCAATTAACTAGTACAAGCACACACACACACACATACACACACACACACACATACACACACATATACACATACACATATACACACACACACACACAAAGTAGAGGTGTAGCTCAAGTGGTAGGACACTATCCTTATGCAAAAAAGTCAAGCAAGAGCTCAAGAGTAGGAGCTCAAGCCTGCATACACACAGAAAAAAGCTGGGCTGGAGGTATGGCTCAAGTGGTAGAACACCAGCTGTGATCAGTAAAGCCACAAGCCCTTGAGTTCAAACACTAATACCAACACACACACACACAGAGGCAGGAAAGAAACAACCTAGACTGGTCAGCACAAGAAGGACTGAGGCAGAGTTGCTAGAGGAAAGGACCATGAACCAAAGAATTTGAGCCAGAAAAGCAGAAAATACAAAGATACGTGTTTTCCCTTGGAATACGTGGTGCCCTTGGAATTCGTGGTGCCCTTGGAACCTGCAGAAGGAAGGTGGTCCCCCTGCCATCTTGACTTTAGGTCAGATTTCTTTATTTTTTTGTTGGGAGACTGGGACTCAACTCACTACTGATGCTTTGCTCAGTGGCTGGGGCTCTTACATCTTTTTCTTCCCCTCCCCTTTTCTTTTTGTAGGTTAAACTTCTTTTTGTAGGTTAAACTTCTACCTCTAGAACTGTGAAGATTTTTAAGATAATGTAGGTTGCTCTGCAGGGCTTGATGCATATATTCAAAGGAGGCTCTGGGACTCTGGCTGGTGACTAGACTCAGGCAAGCACTCACCAGCGCTGTGGGCCCTACACAGGCCTCCTGGGCAGCAAATCCATGTTCTCTGCTTCGTCTGGCACGCACCTTGTGCTAGATGGGCCAGGCACCCACCGTGGCGATTTGCCTAGCTGCTTTTGTCCTAGGCCTGGTGTGACTTGCGAGGAGCATTCACTCGCTGGCTGAATGAGGAGCTAGCATGAGCGCAGCCAGAGCTCACAGATGTGGAGGCAAACACGAAGCTTCGGGCTTTTGGGGGCGTATCCTCCAGAGGCAGCAAGGGGCCACACTGTGGGCCCATCTGCAGGGTCGGACGCTTTTACTGAGAGTGTGTGGTTTGAACTTCCTGCTTCCTGCTTCAGATTCATGTGTTTCAACCTTTGTCTTTCCACCTCTGAACATTTCTCCTTAATCTTTTAATCAGAGAAAGTGTTATCATTATCATAGTTGCTTCTTGAGAAAAGGCGCCGTCATGGTGTGTAGAATACCTGTCTGTAGAGTGGGGCACGGGCTGGGTTGGGGGTGGTTCTTTCCAGGTCATCCCACAGGGAGATTCAGAGGCACCCAGCAAGTATGTTTTCTATTAGTGATGCCTCTTGAACTTTTCATGTACATAAGAATCAGCTAAGGAAGTTTGTTGAACATACAGATTTCCTAGCTGGGCCCTGGTGGCTCACTCCTGTAATCTTAGTTACTCAGGAGGTTGAGATCTGAAGATTGCTGTTCAAAGCCAGCCTGGGCAGGAAAGTCCATGAGACTCTTTTTTTTTTTTTTTCTGGTCGTGGGGCCTAAACTCTGGGCCTGGGCGCTGTCCCTCAGCTCTTCAGCTCAAGCCCTAGCCTTGAGCTGAAGCCCTAGCACCACTTCTGGCTTTTATCTGCTTATGTGGTGCTGAGGGATCAAACCCAGGGCCTCATGCGTGCAAGGCAAGCGCTCTACCACTGAGCCACCTTCCCAGCCCCTCCACGAGACTCTTATTTTCAGTTAACCAGCAAAAAGAAATGGAGTTGTGGCTCAAATGGTAGAATTCCAGCTTTGAGCAAAAAAGCAAAGGGACATTGCCCAGGCCCAGTGTTCAAACCCCACAACTAACAAAAATGCCACCCCCCCTCAAAAAAACACCCACAGATTTCCTGATCTGGGTTGGGTCCAGGTCCGCATGTTGTCAAATGTGTCAGTGTTTAATGCTGAGGGTCCCTGAGGAGTAAAGCCACTGTGATGAACACAATTTTTTTTTGGGGGGGGTATCTGGTCGTGGGGCCTGAACTCTGGGCCTGGGTACTGTCCCTCATCTCTTCAGCTCAAGGCTAGCACTCTACCACTTGAGCCACAGCGCCACTTCCGGCTTTTTTTTTCTGCTTATGTGGTGCTGAGGAATCGAACCCAGGGCCTCGAGCATGCAAGGCAAGCGCTCTACCACTGAGCCACCTTCCCAGCCCTCAAATTCTTTATTGTGATTACATAATTTCCCAAATTTCACGGTATTGTGGGATAATGATGTTTAAAGTCACAAACACATTCTAACTTTCATGGGGCAAATTGTCTATTGTGGTCTATAACATTTATGGGTTCTATGAGCTTTGCGGTACAGTTATTTCTTCCACATTGGGTGATATGTACATTTGTTTTGTTTTGCATCGCATCAGCTGTTCCCTCCCTCCCATCGCTGCCATTGAGTTGCTTAGTTCATTGAGCTGCTTAGTTCATGGGTCCTGCTGTTGTATGTTTTTCTCTGATTCCCTCTAGTTCTGTGTTGTCCTCCTGGTTTCCCTCCTGCGTACACATATATACCATATATGTGATCAGCAGCATGGGCTTATTTAGTAGTGATTTGACCAGATGAGTGGGAGTTCTTTGTTTCTTAAGTCTTGTTAATTTTGTCGTCTCATCTTACATTTTGGATTTAACATCCACTTATCAGGGAGACCATGTACTGTTTGTCTCTTCGCTCTTGGCTTACCTCGCTCAACATGATTTCTTCTAGCTCCATCCATTTCCCTGCAAATGCCATTATTTTGTCATTTCTAATGGCTGCATAATATTCCATCGTGTATAGATACCAGTTTTTGGGTCCATTCATCTGTGGTGGGACATCTGGGTTGTTTCCATATCCTAGCTATTGTGAACAGTGCTGCAATAAACATGGAGGTGCACGTGTCCTTGTATATTGGTTCCTGTTGTTCAGGGTAGATGCCTAGAAGTGGTATGACTGGGTCGTAAGGGAGGTCAATCTTTAGCTTTCTGAGGACCCTCCAGACTGCTTTCCAAAGAGGTTGTATGAGTGTACATTCCCACCAGCAGTGTAATAGGGTTCCTCTTTCTCCGCATCTCCTCCAGCATTTGTAGTTGGCTGATTTTAGGATGTGGGCCATTCTGACTGGGGTAAGGTGTATCTCAGGGTGGTCTTTATTTGCTTTTCCTTCACAACCAGGGATGGTAAACATTTCCTCATGTGTTTCTTTGCCATTTTTATTTCTTCATCTGAGAAGTCCCTCTTTAGTTCCCTTGCCCATTTAGTAATTGGTTTGTTGGGTTTGGGAGGGATTAGTTTCTTGAATTCCCTGTATATACTGGATATTAACCCCTTGTCTGATACATTGCCGGTAAATATTTTTTCCCAGTTAGTTGGTTGTCTTTCTAGCTTGGTTGCTATAGATTTAGCTGTGCAGAAGCTTTTTATTTTAAGGTAGTCCCATTTGTCGAGTCTCTCTCCAACTTGTTGTGACCCTGGGACTCTGTTCGGGAAGTTCCTGCCTGTGCCTATAATTTCAAGTGTCTCTCCTACTCTGTGCTGCAGTAGTTTCAGAGATTCAGGTTTAATGTTAAGGTCTTTAATCCATTTTGAGTTGATGTTGGTGCATGGTGATAGGCTGGGCTCCACTTTTAGTTAAATTTTGTTTTTGTGCTGCTCCTGGGGCTTGAACTCAGAGTCTGGGTGCTGTCCCTGGGTTTTTTTGTTTGTTTTTTTGTCGGTCGTGAGGCTTGAACTCTGGTCCTGGTCGCTGTCCCTCAGCTCTTCAGCTCAAAGCAAGTGCTCTTCCACTTGAGCCACAGCGCCACTTCCAGTTTTCTGGTGGTTTATTGGAGATAAGAGTCTCATAGACTTTCCTGCCCGGGCTGGCTTTGAGCCGTGATTCTCAGATCTCAGCCTCCTGAGTAGCTAGGATTATAGGCGTGAGCCACCAGCGCCCAGCAAACACAATTCTTAACCCAGGTCATGTGCCCTTCAGCTTGGCAAACTTGATTTGGGGTGTTTGTCCATGTGTGTGCACACCTAGGACTTCCACTCAGTCTAGGGCAAATGCAGCTCCACGGGGTGTTGTATTATTGATCCATCCTGTATTTCTCAAAGAAGAAACTGAGGCCAAATCAAACCCAGTTGCAAGTGGTCGTCCTGGTATCCGAGTCCAGCCAGACTGCGTGTCCCAGCATCCATCAGCTCAGGCCCACCTTTTTCTTCCATTGTCAGGGTCAGTGTCGCCGTCTTGTAGTCTCGGGCAGGGAGAGGCCATTCCTGGGAAAATAGGCAACAGCATTTCTTTCTTTCTTTTTTTTTTTGTCGGTCATGGGCCTTAAACTCTCTGGGCCTGGGCGCTGTCCCTCAGGGCGAGCGCTCTACCACTTGAGCAACAGAACTACTACTTCTGGTTTTCTGGTGGTTTATTAGAGATAAAGAGTCTCATGGACTTTTCCTGCCCAGACTGGCTTTGAACCGCGATCATCAGATCTCAGCCTCCTGAATAGCTAGGATTACAGGCGTGGGCCACCAGCGTCCCCCTCAGGCAACAGCATTTCTGCACTTTGACAAGGCCTCAGTCGCATGAGTGACTCCGACCATGTTCCTTGAAATCTTTTTTGTAATTATTTTTTCTCATACGGGTTTCCCTCTTTCCTCCTTTCCTTTCTCTCTTCCTTCATTCCTTCCCTCCCTTCCTCCCATCTTCTATCCCTTTCTAGACTCCTTTTCCCAGCTGGCTGCTCCTCAATACCCAAAGATTCACCTATACAACGAAGAGCAAGTTCTGAGCTGGGAGTGGTCGTCCGCAAACAATGACACAAGACCAGTCGTCTACCGGGTACAGTATAAATAGTAAGTGGGCTGTTCTGTTGGTGAGCTTTCTGGGAGTTGTGGGGGAGTCCTGGAGAAGCTTAGAGGCTTCTCGTTACTGCCTCTCAGTAGGATTGCAGTAGGATGGAGATTTTGTCCGCTCATCTGGGTGTTTAACACATGATCAGAGAATCATTCTTTCTAACCACATGGATCTCTTGCCTGGGTAAAAGCTTATTCCTTCACTCTTTCAGTATAAGCATTCATTTCCAGTCTTGGAAGAATAAGAGGCAGTTTTTTGTCTTTGTCTTGTTCAGGTAAAATCTGATTTAAAGCTGGGCATGCTTATCTGCAGCTATGATCCTAGCACATAATGAGACTGAAGCAGGAGGATTGTGAGCTCCTCAGCCATATAGAAAGACCTGGTCTCAAAAAAAGAATCTCACTTATTTAACCTTACAAGCCAAATAAAGCCTGATTAGAAATTTTGTCAGTTAGCTACAATGAATTCTCAGTTTCTCAAAAGTTTTCTGGTTTGAATACTGAATTATTCCAGTCCCTTTATTCTCTTTCTCGCTTCCTTTTCAAGCTTTTCTATTGTTGGCTATCAATTGATTTACGATATAAGCACATCTAGAAAGAAAGTGGGAAAAAATCTTAAGTCCTTAGTTTTATTTATTTATTTAAATAAGTTAATTGAAGATTAAGGTAAAATTATTGTTCAAGTCCTGTTATACTTCTTCTTTTTTTTTTTTCTTTTTCTTTTTTTTTTTTGTCGGTCGTGGGGCTTGAACTCTGGGCCTGGGCGCTGTCCCTCAGCTCTTCAGCTCAAGGCGAGCGCTCTACCACTTGAGCTACAGCGCCACTTCCGGTTTTCTGGTGGTTTATTGGAGATAGGAGTCTCATGGTCTTTCCTGCCCGGGCTGGCTTTGAACCGTAATCCTCAGATCTCAACCTCCTGAGTAGCTAGGATTACAGGCGTGAGCCACCAGCGCCCGGCCTGTTACACTTCTTGATTATCGGAATGTAAAGAAATAACCCTCAGAGCTCGTGAGAATGTGATTGATAGAATAGATGCATGATTGAAATTAGCTCAGCCCTATTGAAAAAGCAGGTCTGCATCTTTATGCAGTAAAATCTCTATACTCCAGGTTATACATTGAATGTACAGGCACAGGCTAACCTATAGTTGAGCTGTTAGGCAATCTCTAGGAAAGATAATTACAAGGCATCCTAGGTAATCTAGTGGAGTTTCCACTGTGTAAACTTTGGAATTTATGGTAAAGAACAGGAAGAGAATGTGGGAAGAATATTCTTGACAGTTGATTTGTTATAGAAATGGGTTTCCAGATGATGTCTTATGCATGTTTTATGAATCCATCCTAACAATATGTGAATGTGAATGTAAATTACATCTACCAGTTACTCCAATAATAATAAATTACCTACATGGACCAATCCGTTATTCAAGATGGTGGACTGGAGCTGTAGCTCAGTGGTAGAGCACTTGCCTCGCCTGTGAGAAGCTCTCGCTTTGATCTCCAGCATTGCAAAACAAAACGAACCATACCCAGGTTCTCAGGCACAGGTTTCACATGTCCAGTCTGGCTGCTTTCCCTAAGTAGTGGTGAAGGACAGAGAAGGGGGATTTCTTACCCAGTCCTGGCACTACCCCAGCAGAGGTGAACTAAGCTCTTCAGGTCAGATGTGAGCTTTAGGTTTGACTAGAGGAAGACTTGTAGCTAGGGAAGAGATGTTTGCATAATCAGTGAGCATACTTGGCCACAGGCGGGGTCTGGTTGATCGTCATCTTGGGATTGGTCAGACAGGCCTGGTCACAAGAAGAAAGTCACTGGTAGCCAGGCTGCTGCTTCAATTTTTGTCACAAGACACAGTTAATCAGTCCTCTCTTCCTGGATTCCAATGTGGCTACAAGATGACTGGTGAGAACAACGCCTGATATGAAAGAGAAGCAGAGAGGCTAAGCTTTCACCCAGATTTTAGTCACATTTTGGACATCTGCAGAGTCAAAGCAGGCAGCTGCAAAAGCAGGGGGAGTTTTTGTTTTCTGTTGATCATAGGGCCTGGGCGCTCTACCGCATGAGCCACAGCACCACTTCCAGTTTTCTGGGGGTTAATTGGAGATAAGAGTCTCAGGGACTTTTCAACCTAGGCTGGCTTTGAACTTCAATCCTCAGATCTCAGCCTTCTGAATAGCTAGGATGACAGTTGTGAGCCACCAGCGCCTGGCAGTTTTTTGTTTTTGTTTTTTGTCTTCTCAGCAAACGCAGTTTCTCAGTCTCTGTTATAAAAACAAAAACAATTTCAAGCAGCATCCACAAAACAAAACAAAGCAGAAAAAACTTCCTCTCACTACTCTGGGCACAATCTCCTAGAACTAACGTTCAGCTTTCAGTAAGAGGAAGTCCCAGAGGATTTCTTGACTAGCATTCTTTAGTCTCGAACAGGGAAATAAGTTTTTGTGTGTGCGCTGGTACTTGGAGCTTGAACTTAAGGCCTGGGTGCTGTCCCTCAGCTTTATCAGCTCAAGGCTAGCATTCTCCCACTTGATCCACAGCTCCACATCTTGCTTTTTGTTGGTTAGTTAGAGATAAGACTCTTGCAGACTTTTTTGCCTGTGCTGGCTTTGAACCACAATCCTCAGTCTGAGCTTCCTTGAGTAGTTAGGATTACAGGTGGGAGCTACTGGCACCTAGCACATTTTTTGATTATTAAAAACTTCTAGTTTGTTGTTGTTAAGTGGGATATGGAGTCTTGATTTGTTTCCCAAGGCTTCTGGCTCAGCTTTCCAGTAGCTAGGATTACAGTCTTGTGGCAAGCTTACTAAATCTTGTTAAAGAGCTTTTAACAGAATTTCCTATCATAGACTAACTTGATTTGTTTTCTTTTGGGAAAGTAATTTTAAGCTATTTCTTCAGGCACAGACATTGGGTTGTTTAAAAAAACAAACAAAAAAGAAGAGCTGGGTGCCAGTGGCTGACACCTGTAATCCTAGCTACTCAGGACGGGGAGATCTGAGGATTGCAGTTGGAAGCTGGTCTGGTCAGGAAAGTCCCTGAGACTCCTATCTTCAATAAACTACTCAGAAAAAGCTGAAAGTGGGGGCTGGGAAGGTGGCTTAGTGGTAGAGTGCTTGCCTCGCATGCATGAAGCCCTGGGTTTGATTCCTCAGCACCATATAAACAGAAAAGTCTGGAAGTGGCGCTGTGGCTCAAGTGGTAGAGCGTTAGCCTTAAGCTGACGAGCTGAGGGACAGCACCCAGGCCCACAGTTCAAGTCCCAGAGCTGACAAAAAACAAAAAAAGCTGAAAGTGGTGCTGTGGCTCAAGTATTAAGAGTGCTAGCCTTGAGCAAAAGATGATCAGGGACAGAGCTCAGGCCCTGAGTTCAAGCACCAAGACTGGCAAAAAAAAAAAAAGTCACTGAAAACTAAAATTGTCTGACTTTTTTTTTTTAATTATAGCTTCGATGATGGATGCTTTTGTCGTCCTTTCTTATATGTTGAGGACTTTCTATTTATCTTAAGGATTGTATAACTTTCCATCCAGTTTCTTTGTGGTAAAGCAGTATAACTTCTGAAGATGCTTCTTTTGCTTTTTAAGAATCACCATTCCTTGAGATTAAAGTTAAATTACAGGTTGTAGAGAGTAGCCGATAGGCTGTTTGGCCCAGTGTTTAGTTTTTATTTTTATTTTTTAAAATTAGTAGCCAAGATGAAGATCTCTGGAGATTTTGCAAAACAAAACAAATCCTCTCAGTTGTCTTGGAGCTGCGGTTGTCCAGGTGCAAGGTTCGAGGTCGGGGCCTCGCCGGTCCGCTGCCAGGCTCATGCTCAGACACACCCTGCCTTCTCCAGACATTTGTGCCTTTGTTGGTTTTTCTTACTTTACTAGTAATACATGTTCTTTGTGGAAAATCCAGAAAAGCAGCAAGAAGAATATTAAAATAATTTATTGTTCTACACTTCAAAAATCATTATTCTTTTTTCATTTTCGTGTTTTTCTCTCAATTTTTCTTTCACCACAGGCCTGCACTTGTTTGAAATGTGTGTATATGTGTGTACAAAGAGCACAAAACTGGGGTTACACTGTTATTCTTGCTTCCTTTTTCTTCTTTCACTTACTGTAGTTAATTTTGTGAACATCTTTTTCCCATAATTAATTTGTGTGCATATTTGTTGTTTGTTTTTGTGCTGATAGTGGGGCTTGAATTTACCGCCTTATACTCTTGCTTGACTGATTCATTCAAGGCTGGTGCCCTGCCACTTGAGCCACACTAGTACTTCTGGCTTTTTTTCTGGTTAATTGGAGCTAAGAGTCTTGTGGACTTTTCTGCTGGATTGGTTTTGAACTTTGATCCTCAAGCCTCAGCTTCCAGAATAGCTAGAATTACAAGCATGAACATTGCTCAACGTTCTGTTTAAACTTTTTTTTGTCAGTTGTGGGTCTTGAACTCAGAGCCTGGGTGCTGCCCCTAAGCTCTTTTGCTCAAGGCTAGAACACTGTCACTTTGAGCCACAGTGCCTCTTCCAGTTTTCTGGTGGTTAATTGGTGATGTCCCATACTTTCCTGCCTGAGCGAGCCTTGAACCACAATCCTCAGATCTCAGCCTCCTGAGGAGCTGAGGATTACAGGCATGAGCTGAGCCACCAGCACCCAGCTCTGTTTAAACATTTTTATGGTATGTTTAAGTATATGAAGTGTTGCATGCGATTTGTGCAGCTTTCCCCCACGTATGAAATATTGACAACTGGCAACTGTCAGAGGTCTCTACGTAAGCGTTTTCTTACATTTCTGCAAGAGGGGCTGCAGGGTCAAAGGGGCAGACTTAGTTAACATTTTCTAAGTGTCCTAACAGGATGGACAGGTCCCTGTTGCTCAGGTCCCTCCTGGAGCAGACCGTGAGCCCCGTGAGTGACAGAGGTGCGGGGGAGCTGGGCCCTGTACTGCAGCAGCTGCCTCCCTGTCTCAACACGACGCAGATGGTGCCTCAGAGCAAGGCTGGGGGTGCCGTCGATGAGGACCCTGTAGTTTCTAGACACACTGCCTGGGTGCAGTACTCATGAGGGCCACAGAGCTCTGTGTGTGGGCTTGGGTGATCTCTCAGGAGGAAGCCCTTCGCGGGGTTCCGGTTCCTATCACAGACACTTCCCCCTGCCCCACTTCCGGTTCCCATCACGGATACTTCCCATTCTGAAAGGCCTGCTAGGGTTGGATGTCTCCGAGCGTGAGCTAAGGAAGACTTGAAGCCTCTCTGACTCAGCCTCGTGTCAGATCTTGTGGGTGTGTGTCTCTGTGTGTGCATGTGCATGTGTGCACGCATGCCCCAGTATTGGAGCTTGAATTCAGGCCCTGGGCACTATCCCATACAGTTTTTTCACTTCAGTTGTGCTTTCCCGCTTGAGTAATAGCACCCAGGCCCAAAGTTCAGGCCCTAGGACAGGAAGAAAAAATTTAATTTTTCTAGCTGGGGACCAGTGGCTATCACTATAATCTCAGCTAGTCAGGAGGCTAAGATCTGAGGATCACGGAAAGTCCATGACACTCTTATCTCCAACTACCAAAAAGTCAGAAGTGGAGCTGTGGCTAAAGTGGTAGAGTGCTAGCCTTGAGCACATAAAAAGCTCAGTGACAGTGCCCAGGCCCTGAGTGCAAGCCTCAGGACCAGCACACACACACACACACACACACACTGAAATTAGTTTTTCACACACACACACACACACACACACACACACACAATGAAATTAGTTTTTCTGCCAGGCACAGCTGGCTCATGCCTGTAATCCTAGCTACTCAGAATCAAGAGAAAGTCCATGGAACTCTTTATCTTCTCCTTTCTTCCCTTCTCTTCCCTTTCCCTTCCCCTTCTTTCCCTTCCCCTACTTTCTTCCCTCCCTCCTTTTCTTTCTTTCATAAGATAGGGGTCTAACGATGTAGCCTAGGCTGGTCTCAAATTTTAGCTCCTCTGGCTCAGCCTCCACAATGCCATTACAGTTTTATACCACCGTTGCCAACTGCAATGGAAAATATTTGGTCAAACAAAGGAATGAAGAACCGATATGTGCTATAACATGATTAGCCCTGTCCCAAGCAATCAGTGAAAGGTACCAGGCACTAATTCTGTCTTCTGATTCTATTCATATTGTATGAGTCCACTCACAATAAGGAAGTCTATTAGTGGTTACCTGGGAGGGAAAATGGAGAGGCCACATGGTTTCACATGGAGTGATAAATCTTGTAAAAATCAGTCTCATGATGATGGTTGCATGTTTTTGCATATAACCTACAAAGCAGCTGGGTGCTGGTGGCTCATGCCTGAAATTCTAGCTGCTCAGAAGACTGAGATCTGCGAATCATGGTTTGAAACCAGCCCAGACAGACAAAGCTAAAAGTCTCTTATCTCCAGTTAACCAGCAAAAAGCCAGAAGTAGAGATGTGCTAGAGTATCAGTCTGGAACAGAGTCAAGTGGCAGCATGAGGCCCTGGGTTCAAGCCCCAGCACTGATACAAAAAATTAAAAAAGTTGAGCCAGGTGCTGGTGGCTCACGCCTGTAATCCTAGGTACTTAGGAAACTGAGATCTGAAAATCATGGCTTGAAGCCAGCCTGGGCAGAAAAGTCTGTGAGACCCAATACACCACTCAGAAAAAGCTGCAAGTGGCACCTGGCTCACATGGAAGAGCCTCAAGCACAAAGAGGCTCAGGAACAGTGCCCAGGACCTGAGTTCAAGCCCCGGGACCAGCCAAAAAAAAAAAAAAAGTGGATTTTATGCTATGTGAGTCAGTTTTCAATAAAGCAGTATTTTTACTTGGTCTTTTCTAGAAGCCCAAGAAGTGATATAGTGGATATTTTGAAAAATAGCTTCTGGAGACATTGTTCTAGAGGAAGAAGAGAGGTTGTGTGAACTAAAATCCTGTTGTCCTTCTCAGCATCACTAGCGAGCATTGGCATGACGTCACAGTGAAGTCCGTGGGCGTGAACTGCACAAGGATCCCAGAGACACAGTGTAACTTCACCAACGCCAGATTCCTTCGATGTTCCAGTGTGTCTTTACGTGTTCGAGCTGAGCTGGGGGAGATTGTTTCTGCCTGGACCACAGGGCTTTGGTTTCAGTACTATCAGAATGGTAAGAGACCTTGTGTATAAAAATTCCTTTATGGTTCCCAGGTTCTCTTCAATGAAAGATATGGGGTATATAAGCTTATGCCTCTGTTGAGTTGTGTGATGAATGTTGAAGTTTTGTTGTGGTCTTTTGTCTACTTTTTATGTGTTTAAATTCCAAAATGGTGTCAAGTACCAGGAGTGTGACAGCATTGACTATGATCACATAACACCTGATTGGGAATCAATACTTCAGATGGGACAATTATTTTTTGGGGGGTGATGGTCTTGGGGCCTGAACTCTGGGCCTGGGCGCTGTCCCTCGGCTCTTCAGCTCAAGGCAAGTGCTCTACCACTTGAGCCACAGCGCCACTTCCAGTTTTCTGGTGGTTTATTGGAGATAAGGGACTCACAGACTTTCCTGCCTGGCCGGCGTTAAGCCGTGGTTCTCAGATCTCAGCCTCCTGAGTAGCTAGGATTACAGGTGTGAGCCACTGGTACCCAGCAACAATGTTTTTTTTTTTTTTTAATCTGTACAAAAAAAAGGTAAACAAGTTGGGTGCCAGTGTCCTATGCCTGTTAGCTGTTTTGGAGGCTGAGGAGTGAGGTTTGAAGGCAACTCTGGGCAGAAAAGCTTATGAGCTTCTTGAACTAACTACAAAAAAAAAAAAAAAGCTGGAAGTAGCACTGCGGCTCAAGTGGTAAAGTGCTAGCCTTGAGCAGAAAAACATTCAAGGACAGTGCCCAGGCTCTGAGTTCAAGCCCAAGGACTGGCACAAAAATAAACTAAACACACAAAACAATTAGTGACTTGTCTAGGTGTTGTGGTGGATGAAGCAGAAATGTTGAGGAAGTCCCTACTGGCCAATCATTTTCTCCTAGCAGCCTTATCCTTGAGTAGAGTGGACGATTATTCAAGTGGGAAATGGGATTTTTAAGAAGGAAAGTCATGATAATTAGCAAAACTGCCAGGACATGAGACACATTGTCAGAAGTAGGACCAGGCTGAGCATGGCTGGCTGTCCTCCGGTCCTGAGTTGAGCAGTGCTGTGCTTGGTGGTCATTCTCCACACTCTGGCTTCTGAAGTTCTCCAGTCCCACTAATACCTTTGTTCCTGGGGACATTAGATGCAGTAAGGCATCTGCACGTGATTTAGCAAGGGGAGGGAAGGGTAGTTGGCAGCGGCAGGCTTTTTTATTTATCGGTCATGGGGTTTGTTTGTTTTTTGTTTTTTGGGGTTTTTTTTGGGTCCAGTCATGGAGTCTGAACTCTGGGCCTGGGCGCTGTCCCTCAGCTCTTCAGCTCAAGGCTAGCACTCTACCACTTGAGCCAC